ACACACATACAAACATATAAACATACATAGAAAATAAATAATTTTTTCTTTGGTTTTTCGAGACAGGGTTTCTCAGTGCAACAGTCACTCTGTAGACCAGGCTGGCCTCAAACTCAAAGATCCACCTGCCTCTGCCTCTTGATTGCTGGGACATTGTGCTGCCACAATTGTTACAGTTTTTATTATTTACTCCGTTTCTTATTTATTTTTTTGAGATGGGGATTTATATTGCCCTTGCTGGTCTTAAACTCCTAAGCTCAAGCAATACCTCTGCCTCAGTCCCCTAAGGAGTTGGCACCACAATCATATACCACCATGCTTAGCTATGGCTTCTTGGGCTATAATATCTTGGGACCCCACTTTTCAAGGACTACAGCTGAACACTGTCCTCATGGTAATAGTTGGTAGACAACGACCTCATCTTGCTGAGAACAAGACTTACAAGGTTTGCTTTGTTTCCCCACTTTGTCGTGATCCCCAAATTTAAGACCTCCCACCATCAGAAATACAGATGTAGTAATTTACCAAGTTCTCCTTTCCAATCCACAAATATTTACTGATATCCTGCTTCGAACTAGAAACTCTTTAGGGCAGTGATAAAAAATAAGGTATAGTCTTTACTCTCAAGGAATTTATACCCTGGACAGTGCTTTTGACCATTTTTTTTTCCCTGAGACAGGTTCTCACCATGTATGTAGCTCTGGTTATTATGGAACTCACTATGTAGATCAGGCTGGCCTCGAACCCACAGAGACCTGCCTGCCTCTGTCTCTCAAGTGCTGGGATTAAAGGTGTGTGTCACTGAACCCAGGTGACCATCATTCGTATGATTCCTTGAAAGGCTACTTCAAACCTGTAGTCTGAAAAAGTCTCTCAGATGATTTCCTTACAGCAGATGAAACATCACATTTTCATTACCTTAACATCTAAAACCCTGACAATACAAGACTGTATCAAAAATTAGTTCCGAAATGACCTAGCCAATACTAAGATTTCTGGAGGGGAAGGGTGTTTGGATAAGCCTCTTTCCAGCTCTCAATAACCGGGATTGCTTACCTCTTTCTAGAGTTTTACTTCTCAGATACGCACAGAGAATGACACACTTGTGCAATGCTCTGGAACAATGCAGACAGCTGCTCTCAGCTACACTGAAGTGTAAGGTCAATGGCTTCAGCTGCATTCAGCATGATCACACCATCACACAGCTGCTTAAGTGCTAGGAAGGTCAGAGCTGCGCATATAACATGCTCATGCTTACAAAGCCACATAATAGGACAAACCAAATTCTTACCCATTTAACCATGACCTGTGACTCTGACACAAGACCTCTGCATCTATTTCAAATTCCACAGGCACTCGGAGCTCAAGGGTACTCTGTGGCAAGTGCCAAGAAAATCAGAGATGTTAAAGTACAGCTCACTGTCGGAGGCAAACAAGTTCCCTGAAGGCTTCACTTTCCCTGGCTCATTTATACAACTTAAGCACAGGATTACAATTAGACCTAGAGAACTCGCTCACTCGGCAGCAAACATCCCCTAGCGAGTTAGATCCCAAAGATCTTCTAGGGGAGTGGCCAACTGCATCTATCCGGTGAGAAGTAGTGTAACCAGAGCTCTCTGGTGCCTAGAAGTGACCTTGCAGATACCACAAAGCACAAGGCACCTCCCTACACACAGCTCAATATGAAGAACAACTTTAAAAGATGACATTTTCTGGGCTTGGTGGGAAAGGCCCATAATCCAAGCTACTCAGGAAGCTGAGGCAGGAAAATTCCAAGACCTGTCTTAGCTACAGAGTAAGTTCAAGACCAGCCTTGGCAACTAAGTAAAATCCTATCTCAAAATCAAAAGTGAAAAAGAGGGCTGGGGTTATACCTCACTGCTAGAGTTCTTGACTAGGTCCAACACTTAGTGTTAAGGAAAAACAAAACAAAGACATCAACTGCAATGGGGCTGACAAGAGAGTTCAGTGGGTGAAGGCACCTGCTTCCAAGACCGACAACCTGTGTTACAACCCAGAACCAACAATCACTTACTTACACACACACACACACACACACACACACACACACGAAAAAAGTAAAAGAAACACAGAAAGATGAAAATTTCCAGAGTTAGGGGTTGTAGATCAGTAACGTAGAGTATATAATTGGCATATGTTTGATTAGTACGCATAGGGCCTGGGTTTGATACCCAACACTGGAAGAAAAAAAAAATGAAAGACACTATGGACATTAGTAAATTGGCTTCCATGTAGAAGGTTTCAAGTGTACTAAGCATTTCATGCATACTATGTCACCCATCTGCCCTCTAAGGAGATTTAATGAAGTAACATGACTCCCCTTCCTTGGATATGGGAAAATAGAACTCAGAGACTCCCAGGATGCTAAAAAGCCACTATCAGGCCCTGCCGCGGTGGCGCACGCCTTTAATCCCAGCACTAGGAGACAGAGGCAGGTGGATCTTTGTGAGCTTGAGGCCAGCCTGGTCTACAGAATGAGTTCCAGGACAGCCAAGGCTTCACAGAGAAATCCTGCCTCGAAAAAAACAAACAACAAAAAAGGCCAATAATCTAACTTAGGTCTTTCAAAATTTTCCAAGATCAACTAATTCAGAACAAGAGTCTACAAAGCTGTAGTTTTTGAAGCAGCAACACAAAATCTTCATCCAAGGAAGTACAGTAATGTCTTTAGCTTTGGCTTTTTCATTTTCTTTTCTTTTCTTTCTTTTTTTTAATGTGTAGCTCAGGCTGGCATTGAACTCGTGATCCTCCTGCCTCTGCCTCCTTCAGCAAATCCTACCGGTGAGAGCCACCTCAACCAAGACAGTGTCTCACTCTATAGCCCAAGATGATCTGGGGAACTCACTATTAAGCAAGACTGACCTCAAACTCACAGCGATTCTCCTGCCTCAGCATCCAGAATGCTGGGATTACTGATGTGACTACCATGACCTGCTTTTATTGGTTTTCAAAATATAGATTTCTGAAATAGGGACATAGCTCATTTGGTAGAATGCAAAACATCCTGGGAACAATTCATGTACAGGGGGAGGAAGACTTCACAACTTTAAAAAACACAGGTCTTAGGATTGGAGAGGCGGCTCAGCAGTTAAGAGCACTGCCTGCTCTTCCAGAGTCCTGAGTTCAATTCCCAGCACCCACATGGTGGTTTACAACCATCTGTAATGAGATCTGGTGCCCCCTTCTGGCCTGCAGGCATACATGCAGGCAGAACACTGAATACATAATACATTAAAAAAAAAATACAGGTCTCTATCTCATATCCTGTTTCTTATTTTTGTTTTGTTTTGTTTTGTGAGACAGGGTCTCACTCTGTAGCCCTGGCTGACTTGGTACTCAATATACAGTCTGGAGTAGCCTCATACCCATGGTAATCCTCCTTCAGTTTCCCAATGCTGGGCTTACAGCATTGGAGCTACCACACAACTTCCGAACTCAAACCGTAAACTGACCATGTAGCTTACATGTCATCTAAGTGCTAAGAGTACAGGCCCTGGGTACAGTCTCCATCACCATCATAACAGCAAAAAATAGAGCGAAAAAAATTTCCCCCACGAGAGCCTCTGGAAGTCGTATCAGATTCTTTCGATTTCTGGGCATCCTCCTGCTTCTGCCTGTGGTGTGCAAGTGATAACAGGTATGCTCACCCAATCTGGGCTTTGGGGTATTTTGTTTGCGAGACAGGGGCTGGTGGTCCTAAACATACTGCGTAGTCTATGGTGGCCTTTACTGTCACCCTGCCTCCATCTCATAGATGGGATTAGAAGTGTATCCTACCTTTTAAAAAATTTTTTATTTTTATTTTGAGACCGAGTTTCTCTGTGAAACAGCCGTGGCTGTCCAGGAATTCACTCTGTAGATCAGACTAGCCTCGAACTCAACAGGATCCACCTGCCTCTGCCTCCCTAGTCCTGGGATTAAAGGTGTGCGCCACCACCGCCTGGCTGTATCCCACCATTTCTACTAAGAATAAAACTCTTGAATTTGCATCTTGGAAAATTACTCCAAAGATTTTTTAGGTCATTAAGGTTGAAGAGGAAGCAGCACCTATCACCTAAAGATAGGTGTTTGCTGTGATTGTCTCAGCTGGTGGCTATGACAGACGCTCCACCTGTATCCATTCAAGCCGGTGCCGCATACAGCCTTAATCAAACACTACTGCTATGTGAAAGCAAGGGAGATGGAAGAGACATCGCTGGTAGATTCTTAAGGACACATGTAAATTCCTTACACTGGTGGGTGAGGGTGGAATGAAAGGAAGAATTTCCCAAACCGAGAAAGCAGCTTATCTGAACCTGAAGGGTATGGAACCATGGCGCTAACGGGAGGCTCACGTGCCTCAGCAGCACACTCCAGAAAAGCAGCACAGCGCCCGAAAGCTGACTGGAGGGCTAGGCCTCAGCAAATGAGGACGAGCTCTGAATGCCGCAGCCTAGAAAGGTCAGTTTTTCCCTACAGTGACTAGGGAGGCGGTTACAACTAGTGATTTTTCAGGTGGGAATTATCACTGCAGCAACTTCACAGAAGACTGGGCGGGGATGGGGCACTCCTTGGAAGTATGACAGGTTTGCCGTGCAAGCGACCCAGCTGGACTCTGGCCCGTTTTCCAGCCAGTGCATGGAAGGAGATCGGTGGCCCCAGCAGGACCCTAGCGTTTACTGGCAAAGGCAGGATGTAGAGTAGGCGCCGCACACAAGGTTAGATCAACCTGACCCGCGCTGGGTGCGGGACGACTGAGCCACAGCCAGGGCAGCTGACCACGTCCATCGGGCCCAAGGCCGCAGCAGGTTTTGAAGCCACGCCAGGCGACCGTGGGTAGCCACGGCCCGGCCCGCTCCCCTGCACGAAGGCCCCAGTGCACGGGGGCCGAAGGCTCGGAGTTGCACTGCGGCGGCCCGGCAGCGTCAAGCCCACGCCACGGCCGAGCTCGCCAGCCCCTCACGCCGGTCAGGCCGAAGCCCCGAGCCAGAAGGCCTCACCTCGCACGGCCGGCGGGCTCTTCGGAGTCTCGGCGGCTCAGCCCACCGTCTCCCGGCCCAGGCCACGGACGCCGCCGCCATCCTCTCGCGTCAGCGTCGTGACGTCATTACTGCGCGCGCCTGACGCCAAAACAAATTTGGGCGGCCTACAGGGAGGAACCGAGGCGGACCCTCCGCTCGGCGGACGCGGTGGGCGTCCTCTGAGGACCTGCCAATCAACGTCTTCCGGGCGGAGAAGGACTTTCCGGGAGGGTGGGTCTATCTGTGGATCCAAGCGGCTGGGGAGCGGGTTGTGGGAGGGACTTGTAAAGACTGGGAAGTTGGGGAGAAAATGTCAAGGTTATAGAGCTGAAGGGGCTCGTGAAAGGCGAGGAGAGAGCACAGTGGGCGCAGAGGTTTCTCGAACTGCCCCTGAATCTCCGCAGATGACTGATTTAGATCTCATTAATTAAATGTGTTTGTTCTGTTTCATTTGAAACTCGATCTGACTCTGTCCCTCTGGCTGACCAGGAATATATACTACGTAGTCCAGGCTGGGCTCGAACTCTTGGAAATCTTCCTACCTCGGCCTCCCGGAATGAGAGATTACTCGCTAGTCTTAAAATCTAATTTTGTTTGTTTGTTTGGTTTGGTTTCTCTGTGTAGCTTTAGAGTCTGTACTGGCACGCGCTCTGTAGACCAGGCATGTGAACCACGGCCGCCCGACTTAAAATCTATTTGAAACAATTGTGAACAATCAGATGTGTTAAAGACGGCAGTTAATTTCTGAATTGTGAAGTAAGTTTTGGACCAACTTCTAGATAGTCATGGGTTTTCTCTTCGCTTTTTCTCTTTCTTCCTTCCTTCCTTCCTTCCTTCCTTCCTTCCTTCCTTCCTTCCTTCCTTTCTTTCTTTCTTTCTTTCTTTCTCTCTTTCTTTTCTTCCATAAAACAAGGTTTCTCTGTGTATCCCTGACTGTTATGGAACTCACTCTCTAGACCAGACCTTAAAGTAAGATTGACAGGGTTCCTCTGTAGCTTTTTAAAGCCTGTCCTGGAATTCGCTCTGTAGATCAGGCTGACATCGAACTCAGAGATCTGCCTGCCTCTGCCTCCGAGTGCTGGGACTAAAGGCATGTGCCACCACTACTCGACTTTTAAAGAAAGATTTTTAAAAGATACTTAGCAATCTGAGCATGGTGGCTCACACCTTTTAATCCCAGCAATCGGGGAGGCAGAGGCAGGTGGATCTCTTAGTTTAATGTCAGCCTGGACTACATAGTGAGTTCCAGGACCAGAGCTGTGCCAGGAAAACCATCTTGAAAAATAAAAAAACGAAAGTTGTTTCAAAGCCTAGTGCGTTGGTACTTGTAGCCTGGAATTCTAGTAGTCTGGAAACAGCAGCAAGAAAGTCTTCAGTTTGAGGCTAGCCTGGGCTACATACTGATGTCCTGTCTCAAAAGAAAAATTGACAAACACCTGTAATCTTGGCACTCAGGATCTAAAGGAGTTTTGCAGTGAGAGATCAAGAATACCTGAGATAGGGCTGGAGAGACAGATCAGCACTTAAGAGCACTAGCTGCCTGGCTACTCGTCTCGAGGACCTGGGTTCAATCCTTAGCACCCACATGGCAGCTCACAGCTGTCTGTAACTCTAGTGCCAGGGGATCTGACACCCTCACACCAATACACATAAAAGAAACTTAAATAAAATATTCAAAAAATACGTAGGTTATATATAGAGTTCTAGGTCAGCTTGGAATATAAACTGAGAACTTATTTCAAAACAGCCACCATGAAAATTGTTTCTCAAAGTGTAGTGGAATTACTAAAAGCATAGACTTTATCCATGGTGCACACCTTTAGTCCCAGCACTTTGGGAAGCAGAGGCAGGTGGATCTTCAGAGGTTCCAAAGCCAGGGTGGCTTTAAGACCAGCATAGTTTATATATAAGCAGGACAGCCAAGGCTGCCACACGATGAGACCTTGCCTAAAAAAGAACTTTGGGACCAAACCTGAGATCAAATCTCAGTTCTGACATTTCCACAGTCGTGTGAATTCTTAGGGAAGACATCTTCCTCAAACCACTTTACATATTGTTTTCCTAGCTTTATAATGATTATAAACCTAGGTAGCCAGTCGGTGGTGGTACTGCACACCTTTAATCCCAGCACTCAAGAGGCAAAGGTAGGCAGATACTTGAGTTCAAGGCCAGTCTGGTCTACAGAGAGAACTCCTGGATAGCCAGGATTACACAGAGAAACCCTGTCTGGGGGGAAAAAGCTATTATGATCATAATCCCAACCTCACAGAAAGTAGTAAATAATATAAAATTTCAGGTTGATGACACTCAGAAATCTATACAACACTTTCACTTGACAGATATTTGGCAAATAACCAATATTTATCAAATATTCAGGTGCACCATGGTTTGGACCCTAGGGAAAAGCACGGGTCTGGTATCAAAGTGTGCAGGTGTGGTGGCACCTGAAGCCAGACCATCTGAACAACAGGCTGCACTTTGTCTATAGACCGACAGCTGCAGAACACTATCATTGTAATGCTGGGGCCTAGGCAGCTGTGCCCAGGCCCCAGCATCTTGGCTATCATCCCACCCCTTTGCTCTAGCTCTGAGATAAAACCCATAAAGCCTTTAAGCCCCTGACCAGAGAGCAAATTCTTCCCCCACTCATCCTCCCAACCCAGCCCATGGAAGAGTAGGGACTTAGGGAGTAAAACATCAGGGTAAAAATAGGTCACTGTAGGAGGATGGTAATCCCCAACAATGGCTGACCAGAGCAGCCAGCCCTGCTTGGAGAGGCATACTGCTCCTGGCCATTTAATAGGTCTAGAAAACTTTTACGATCTGAAGCCCCAACCTATCCCCCAATACTAACTGTATGCCCAGACTGAGGGAGATGTCCCAAAATGACATAGCCTCTACACTGGACTTATTCTCAGTTCAAGGTCTTGTTGACTATAATAATGATAACGATGCCTATGCTAAAGTTATTTATAGATTCTTTGATCCCAAATACTCCATACTGCACTTTCTTTTTATTTATTTATTTATTTATTTATTTATTTGGTTTTTCGAGACAGGGTTTCCCTGTGTAACAGTCCTAGTTGTCTTGCAACTAGCTCTTGTAGACCAGGCTGACCTCGAACTCACAGGGATTCACCTGCCTCTGCCTCCCGAGTGCTGGGATTAAAGATGTGTGCAACCACTGCCCAGTTGATTTGTTTTTATTTTATGTACATCGGTGTTTTCCCTGCATGTATCTCTGTGCGAGGGCATTGGATCCCTGGAGCTGGAGTTACAGACAGTTGTAAGCTGCCATGTGGGTGCTGGGAATTGAACCCGAGTCCTCTGGAAGAGCAGTCAGTGCTCTTAAGGACTAAGCCATCTCTCCAGATCCCCATAGTGCACTCTTTATCCTTAGGTTGGGTGCTAGAGACACAGAAAGTACCCCTTACCTTTGAGGAGTCCACATCTGGGAATTTTCACTGGGACTTGGGAATTACAAACCAGTGTTATACTGAGACGGGGAAAAGCACAAGTTCTGTGTCTATATAGAGGTAGTTTTAATTCAGTCTAAATACAGAGTTACAAAGTACTTTCTAGAAGAGGTGATGCTAAGCAAGATATAGCTGTTTCTTGTTGACCAAAAATAACTAGGAAAGGATATTTTCTTAAAAATATAGCTGTACAGGGCTGGAGAGATGGCTCAGTGGTTAAGAGCATTGCCTGCTTTTCCAAAGGTCCTAAGTTCAATTCCCGGCAACCACATGGTGGCTCACAACCATCTGTAATGAGGTCTGCTGTCATCTTCTGGCCTGCAGACATACACACAGACAGAATATTGTATACATAATAAATAAATATTTAAAAAATATATAGCTGTACAGGTCCAGCACGATAAGTTGCCAAGCATGGTGACCTGAGTTCAATCCCCAAATCTGTGTAGTGGGAAGGAGAGACTTGACGGCCGCTAGTTGGTCTTCTGACCACCACATGTGTACTGTGGCACACCCACAAGTACTCATGCCCCCCCACGCTCACACACACATGTACACACACACATGTACACACACACACACACACACGTACACACACACACGTACACACACACACACACATACACACACACAATATATTTTGTAAAGCACATATACAGCCCTGGTAAGGTGCTACACAAATTTAGTTACAATACTCAGGTGGCATAAGTGGGCAAGATCTTTAAGTATTTGAGGTCATCTTGGTCAGTGTAGTGAATTTCAGGACGCCAGGACTACATAGTGAGACTTCCCCCAAAAAAGGTACACCTAAAAGACTAAAAATTCCATTTTTCTTTCAAGAAATTTCTGGTGGCCAAAGGTAGCAGATTCAGGATTCTAGGTTTTGTGGGATTTTTTTAAAAGTGTTTTTGTTTTGTTTTTGCTGGGGTTTTTGTTGTTGTTGAGACGTGGTTTCTCTGTGTAACTCTGGCTGTTTAGGAACTCTCTAGATCAGGCTGGCCTTGACCTTAGAGATCCACCTGCCTCTGAGTTCTGAGCCTGTGCCACCACTACCTGGCTCAGGATTTTCTCCTTCAGAAATGTGAGTCTATGTCAATGAGGGAGGCTGGAGGGATGGCTCAGAGTTTCAAAGTTCTAGTAGAGACCGAAGTTGTGTTCCCAGCACTCACATGGAGTAGCTCACAAACTTCCATAACTCCAACTCCAGGAATGTGGCACCCTCCTCTGAACTCTGGGGCCACCAAGCATGCACATGATGCACCTGACTGTTCCTCCCTTTCACCGTGTGTGTGTGCGTGTATGTGTGCATGCATGTGTGTGTGTATGTGCATGTGTGTGTGCATGCATGTGTGTGTGTATGTGCATGTGTGTGTGTGAACAGCCTCCCAACATGAGTGTCATAAGCCTAGCCTTCCAAACTTAGACCCTGTGGATGCTAACGGCCTCTTTTGCAAATCCCTCTCCATATCTGCTCACCTTTCTTGTACCACTTCTTTTATGACAAATTTTGATTTTTATTAGTTTATTTTTTGTATTTTAAGACAGGGTTTCTCTGTGTAGCCCTGATTGTCCTAAAACTTGTTCTGTAGACCAGGAAGGCCTTGAACTCACAGAGATCCACCC